TAACCAAGTATAACGGTTTTAAATAAATTGTTATAATTTAAAAATATTATTCGTAAGTATTTGAAACTTTTAAAGGATATTGTGATATACAAAACAATTTAGTAATTCGCTAATAATATTTATTTAACCTACCGGAYACAGAAATAATAATAACAATATAAATATTATTATAATATAAAATATCCTAAGCTGATTAACTGTCTCCACAGTAAACATCGTTTTTTGTATACAATGATATTATTATATCATATTGAATTCAAATTTTACACCATCCATATTACAGTGACCCACTTGTAACCTACTGTACAGCAAAACGTCACCCACTTAGATACCAGCTAATAGAAATATTATAATCTGTACCATAGAGCGGCATCCTACATTAAAAAAAAAACCAAAAAATCGTTCGATCTTCTTAAACTACCTAAATGCATGTGTGTGTCACTCTCTAGCAGCTGCGACCTTCATCGGAGTCAAAAAATAAGCTTTAAACAACCCCCCCCCCCCCATTGTCTCAACACAGGCCATAGAGTCTATTGATATAAGTACCTATATAAATGCTCTTATCGAAAACGGTCTAGCAATTTTTCAGTCTATATTATACAGACGACAAAAACAACTTAATCTACAGATATAGTTTGTGGTGCGCTCTATATAACGTACAAACTAACTTTTCATTTAGGTATTTATTATATTATTTATTATTTATGTTTTTTTCTCTCGTGACATTTTTTCCGAAACGAGTGCCAACAGAGAAATAGGCTATATTTGCGCGTTGAAGCTTGTAAATAACATAATATAATAATAATATAATATAATATCGTTTTGAATGCTCACATTTACGGTATAATATTTTCAGTATTATTTTCAGTTTTTTTTTTCTATTAATGTCAAAAAAATGTTAGTGGTTAGGTTAAAAAGCTTCAAAATTTAATACAAGACTTCCAACATATTGTTACAATAGCAGTTGAAAAATATTAAAAATTCATAGGCACGGTTTTTTTTTTA